TATTAAAATTATAGCATTATAGTATTTATATTATTCTGTAAAATTTCCTGTCGATTGGTAAAATTGCGAGTGTTTTTATACCAATTATTCGTCATTTTCCAACATATAATAATATTATAAGAGAGCAGTAGATTTATAATTATATCTCTCTAAAAGTAGTACGCTTTAAAAGAGAATATCCTCAAAAGATGAATATTAAGAATATTCTCATTAAAACATTAAATAATTACGTTTATACACAGATAAAGATAAACGATGGCTGCAAAAGTAGTAACAAAAGTAACATTTTATAGAATTATTGTAGTTAAAAATATTGTTATACCTGTACTGCTATGATACTTAACAAAACACCATAACATAAGTTACCATTACTTGAAGTTGAACGAGTTGCGATTGTTAATAAGGCTATATTCCAATCGCGAGCAGAAGTATCCGATTGGTGTTTAAATACTCCGTCACAAAGCAAATCATTTCTCTCAGAGTATCGAGACGCATTTCAACGCGAGAGTATCGGTGAGAGTATGTTCATCTCCTCTTTCCATCCGTGCTTAAATATTTCATTTGTTGTTTCCTCTTTTCAACAATTCTATCGTAAGTTGGGCGCATCAGTTATTAGATTAATCGTCAGTTAAATGTGTGCCACAGTATTTTTACCGAAAATGTCTCTTTTCTATCATCTTTCCGTATTTCTTTAGAATTTATATTTCTGCAGTATTATCTTGCCACGGAATACTCGATTGATGACATCAGAAAGAATAAAACATGCTCAAAATTGCGACGAAGTATGCTGAAATAAAAGGATGAGTCCATGAAATGGTCCTTGGCATCGCGATTGAACACATAAAATATTTCGAAATTTTTCCTTTTATTCTATTAATAAATATCTTTAAGATCGACCTGATAGGTAACCATTTTTTTGGTATATCTTCCCTCATAATTTTGTTACATTAATTTTGCAGCTACCTTTTAAGGATTCCTCGAACAAACCATCGAAACATACCTTCTAAGGATTCGTCGAAACAACAAAAAAATGTTTTTTATATCTCTTTGCGATAGAAATAATATTATTTGTTATATATATACATAGAAGTTGTATACCACTGTATATCTATAGAAAAAATGACAACTGGACGACGATGGAGTGAATGGGTAAAAATCGTTCTATATATATATATATATATATATATATATATATATATATATATATATATATATATATATATATATATATATATATTTTTTTTGCAAGTTACAATTATAGAAGCTTTATATAACGAACGTTTGCTCGTCATAGTAGGTCCGTAATATCATTACTAGCATATTATATAACGCGTGTGTTATATAACAGTTATATTGTTGAATGAGAAATTATAACTAACAGTTATATAACTGTTACTTGGTGCTTACTGGGCATTTTCTTATACGGTAAGGAATACCTGATTATAATTATGATCTAAAGTTTCTTGCACGTCATTGTTGCGTATGAATATGTATAGAAATATGATGCATATAAGTATTATGGCATGTACCGTGGCATGGTAGTGCCAACAAGCCATCAGCTTGTCTTGTTTGCAGTACCTGCAAACTAACTAGAAAATTTAGAATATTACAATGAAAACAAACTTTTTTACATATGTCATATACATTCTAGAAAAAATCGCGAAAAATTAAGAGAAAATAAACGAAAAAATATACGTTTATATATTAAGTTATTTTAAACCTTTTTCTATGACACAACCATTAAATAATCTTGATCAAGATAGATTTGTAATTACACATTATCTCTCACCAATTCTGGAATAAATCTCATTAAATCTAAAAGTACAGTCACTTATTATTATGGTTTTTTTTTAAGATTACGGAGGAAAATATATACACGGAGGAAAAGAGATATTGCGCACATAATCAGAAATATTTAGTTGTGAACAGCATAACTGCATCACTTTAGTTATGTTTGTTTGGTGGTAATGCGTATATAATTTAATTACCTTATGAAGTTATCTTTAATTATAAACATTAATGCTCTAGCATAGATGAAACCAAGACCAAAATTAATACATTATTGAAATAAATCTCAAATAAAACATTATAATCGAATCGTTAAAACGAGACGATATTAAATAAACAACTTGACAATTATCTAATTGAAGTTTATTGTCTCAAAAAATTTCTCAACTTCTCGATTTGTTTCTTCCGATAGTGACAGCTCTGACAGCTGTCGCTCAAATTGACAGGAACAGAGTTTAAAATGACTGGAATTTACTTTACTAATGACTACATCAGTCAAATTTATAAACACGAATGTCTACCCACATAACATGCGTGTCTAAAAAACATCTTAAAGACGTTACTAAAAAACATCTTATAGATTTTATAAAAATCGTCTTATATAAATGCATCTATTGTAAATCATTCTTAAGATATTTTATAACTGTTTACATTACCGATTATAACATTTATGCATGCTTTGTTATAGCAAATACTCCCTCTTAAACTTTAGCCCGTTTTCTGAACACTTTTTTATCGCTAAAAGCGTCTTTAAAAGTGATTTATAGTCAATCAGGAGGCTTATAAGCCACTTTTAGAAGCGCTTTTAGCGATAAAAGAGAGTTCAGCACACGAACTTTTGTGAGCATCGTGTAAAGGAAATATTCCAGTATAGAAAAAAATCTTACAGAATTTATTAAATCATAAATTTTTATGATTTTTGTTAAGTTCCAATTAAATTATTATGTCGAATAAAAATCTTTAGACTATGGACTTGCTCATCCGTTTGCTCTATTTATTCAGGATTAGAATTAGGGATCGATGACAGTTAGCGTGGTGGGGATATCCGATATAAACTTGAAGTTTAAAGCACACGATGCTAGATGTCATCATTATCCTCTAGCTGTCATCGACCCTTGATCCTAACTGTGAGCAAATGGAGCAGATGAGCAAATCCACAATCTAATCATAATTCTCGACCGACTGCTGCAAATAAACGATATTAAATAAAATAATTTAATATTAATTTAATGTCCAATATTTAATGTCCAATTATTTAATGTCCAATTTAATGTCCAAAATAATTTAAAAAATCTGTAATTTAATACACATAAAAAGATCTTAAAGCAATCTTAAACAAGATGTCTTTAGGACATTTTAAAATAATGTCTCAAAGAATAGAAATCATAAAATCCTTTTAATATATTTTATCAATCTATATTATATCTGTATATCGAATGGATTATTATCAAAAGCTTATATGAAGGTTCGTTCAAGAAAAACGCGGCTTCATTATCGTATGCTTACGTTCATCGATAGTACAGCCTTAGCATTTCAAAGGTCGTGGGTGAAGTATCACCCAGAGACGGTGTATACGAAGGTTAATGATTTCATTAAATATTCATAGTACTCGTGGCAGTTTTCACATTTAATTTACGTCAATAGGTCTAACGTTTTAACGTCGAAGTGTCTTACCTCGATTCACCTTCGCCACTTTTGCTCGAGCAACCTGGAAAAAGTACCTGACATTCGCTACTGCGCTAAATTTTCGAGATTTCTCTCTATGCGCATCGCGCTATATCTGAAATGATCTCACGAGATATAACACGTGTCTTTTTCTTATTATACATGATGAAAAGATCGATTATTATTTAACACACATGCCCATGCAAGTCAGCCTGTCGCAAGAATCGAGCACGTCACATACGTGCGACGTTGATATAACGAATGTGTTAGAGGCGCGAAATGACGAGGCGCGTTGAAAAGTGCGATTCCAGTTGTGATCGGAAATTCTTAGTGGTTTCTTTTTTTAACATGTGTATTGCAACATATCTACGTACACATCTTACGTAAATTACTTTTCTAAATATTTATCTAATATTTTCTAAATATTTATTTATTAATATTTATAAACCAAGGCACTCTCGACATATCGCGAAATTATCTTTGGAGATACCTTCGTCAGAAAAATATTTCATATAGTACAAAATTCAAAGAAATTCAAAGAACAGAAGAAAAGAAAAAAATAGCAACTGCCAAACTTTTCAGTTTTTCAGTTTTGCACGATGTCTTTTATGTCTTCGTCAGTACTTAAACATCGATCAAACGTCGATTGCTTGAAAAGCACTCGAAGTGGAGAAAAGGCCAGCGATCGCTCGACGTGAATTAGGTATTATAGATTTCCGTTAGTCAAACATAATCATATCGAGATTACTTTGCAATTGGCAGAATTTTCTATGCTCTGGTGCAATCTACTAGTGAGTCGGGGTCAACAATCACAATTACACGACACACGTGCTCCCTCTGACACAGAGACGACGACCGATCTTAGCAAGAAGCATGACTGCAATCGGTCCTTACATCTTAGACGCGTCTCTCATCGAAAAGTGTCAAAGGAAAGCCTGACTAACTCCGTCGCACGCGTTCTACAAGTCGAGGAGCACACTGGATACACAGGGGTAATTTTCATATCAAGAACATTATTGTATCATGACTATCTGAGTACAATATCCGGTTTTATATAAACTGTGTACAAGTACAATTTCGTATATCGTCTATCATTCATCACGTGCATTCGTATTTATTGGTAAAACGAATCCACACAATAGCATAATACGCGTCTCGCGCGGTTAATTGACGCACTGACATCGAGACATGTAAATTAGTCCGTTTAGGTATGTGTGTTAGCGTGCATGTGTATCAGTGTTTACGTGTGTTTGGCATGATGATACTTGACATGATCGTCGCGCGCTCGAGTGAACTTACAAAAACTAAACACAACCGTCCATCGTTAGAAATTGGATTAACGAGTCCACGCTGTCCGTCGTTGCGGTTTACAAGTCACGACAGATGAAACATTCGAAGACACGGTAGCAGGAGGGAGAGGGGCAGGGGATGTGCGGGAGCTACTTTGTTCGCTTCTACGCCTTCTTCTTGGTGTTTTTCGTGGTCTTTGTGGAAGCGGCCTTCTTCTTCGGCGTCGGCTTCTCAGCCTTCTTAGCGTACTTGTCGATCAAAGAGTCGAAGAAACTGTCCGACTGACTGGCGCGAGCTCTGTTACGATTCTGGATCACCAACGCGAGATCATTCGCAGCTGCGTTCTCCTCGTTCTCGATCTTCAGCATCTTCTCCAGACGCTCGGCTTCCGCCGCTTCTCTGGCCCACTGCAATCAGAGAAGTCGATCGAGAGCAATTAGCATCAAAAGGCCGATAGCTGTTTACTATCCAACTCGCGTCGGACTCGCAGTGCGACTCAGCCGAGGCGGTTTAGTCCGTATAATTCCGATATAATTCGATCCAGACTCGCCGCAGCACGGAGGGGAAGTCGATCTTACGGCCTGATAATGGCCGTTCACGACGCACAAGTGCGTTCCTGTTGGCGAGATTGATTGCAACCCGTCTCTTAACTAGAGCGAAAACGCGATCTGCGTCATTATCCTATTTCCGAAACACGCGCCACGCGTCGATTCTCGAATTTATCGACGGTTATCACGCGCACGCGACTCGCATACGTACAGTCGAACGATGAACGGAGAGCGAGCTTTTCTTTCTCTCTCTCTCTCTCTTTCTCACTCTTCTTCTCCCTTTTCCTCAAGAGTGTGTTGGAGCAAGTTAATTTTAAAAGAGGAGGGTCATCGATTCAATCGGGTGAGCAACCGGATATGCATTGCTTACGAGCGCGGCTTAGATGGATAAACGGAGGCACGATGCCAACTTGTGGTACAACGATCGCCGGCTTAGAGCGACGAGACTCTGATTTACGCTGGCAGCTAGTTAGAGAATATATTCACAAATCCTCCACTCGCGCTCTCACAAGTCGGCAAACTCGTGGAGTAAACGGAAAACAATTCGAGTAGAGACGATCCTCCACAAGAGGAATCAATCAAAACGTCCGCTTCTAATGGAAATAATATCATTATTAATATATTATATGTAAACACGTAAATATATACTGTATATTTATACACAGTATACCTAAATGTATACTGTGTTGACGTTAAAAAAATAATCATAAGAATATTGCATGTATAATGTTAAGATTTCAAGAAATACGATTCATTATTGAGTGGCTAAAATTGCGGAAAATAATTTCGATCTTCAAATGTAGACGTCAGAGTCACGAAATTAACACTGAATCGTGTTTCGTGCGATCCCAAACTTAAATTTCTTCTAAAACGTTTGCCTGTATAAGACTTCATTATAAATTACATTACATACAATTTCTAAACATTTTTAAAAAAACTATTATATGTCATCTTAAAATCGAGAAAATGTTTCTCTTTGATATTTTTCACCTTATTATAATTCGAAAAACTCTGACAAACATAACACGAATGAGAAACAATGATGAGCAAGTGCATATTTTAGCGATTGAAACTGTTTGAAACGGTACTTAAAAAATTGTTGCGACTTGAAGATGAAAATGGGTCGAGCTGATGCATCCGAGCAAATGAAAGTGTTAGAAATTATATCGTGCTTCCTAACGCTTATGTCAACAGTTAAGCAGACTTTTACGTGCACAACAGAGACCCACGTCTTATTCTATTTGCGAGTTTTTAGATATCTCCCGAGATGCGGTTGCTTGTTCATAATTGCTACAAGGTCTCTCTTTTTCGGCAATGCTACATCAGGTACATAAGCGTCGATGACGCTTCATATCTCGCGTGACCTACTCCATAATCCGCAGCTGAAGAAATTCCGTTATTTATAATTTCTGGCAAGTACGTCTAACTGGCTGCCTCCTAATGCCGGCGCATTGCACAACGCGTTCGCGAAACTCTCGAGTGCGGGACGAGACGGATTCGTCAGCGGTTATAAACGAAAGGGACGCGTTACGTTCGCCTCGAAGTTGGGACGTCGGCACGGAAGTTGCAAGTATTTCGCTTAAACGTCAGCAAGAAATAATAACGCCAATAGTACGCAGACAGGACTTTTGTGTATTTTTTTCCTTTTTCGACAATCGTTTCCTTGCCTTTTTCCACAAGTTCGGTATCTCTCGCGTTCTCCAACTCTCAGCTTACGCTAACTTTCGAGATTACATCAAGAGCATTCTCAAGCGAATGCAAATGAGAAGAGCATTGTTCCGTGTAAAGAATTCCCGGTATCGACATGTTGCATAGGAGGTCACGCCAAGTGTCAGGGAAGACACCGTATACATACATCTGAATCGAAGACGGAAGCATTTTCCGCGACCTTGTAACACCCGGTTGGTGTCTATATTGATCGGAATGCTTGATATGTCGTGCCGCGACACGAATGGCGTGAAACCGCGTGTTTAACCGCGGGGTACGTGTCATTGCCATGGAATCCCGTTAATGAAGAATTGACTCCGCGAGGTTGAGCTCGTTTGCGGCGCGGTCATGTCGTGAAGAGCGGCACGTGCGCGTCTCGTGCGAGATGAAGATCAACGCCAGCTCCTTTCGTGTGCAATAATGGATGAACGAGCTTTCGATCGCTCGACAAGGTCGAGCTACGTGGTGATCGTCACCAAGCGGGAGTGCCTTTATTAGAGATCTGCCCGAGAGATACATCGAGTCTCATCAGATACGCGACGAAGGCTACATCGCAGAAACATCAGGAACTAGAGACGATTCTTGAAAGTGCAAGATCAACTCTGTTGTCGCGCAATACAGTTAGCGATGGGCTCGAGACACGTCGGAATTACTTCGGATACGCAACGGAGGTTCGGATCTTTTCGGATATTATTCGAAGCCAGGAAATGCCCGAGAGAGTCTGGAATGTCTTAAAAGTCTTGCACTGCACTGTAAAATGTACTACAGACTATACTGCAAAATGAAAGACGGAACTTGAATTCCTCCAACTTTAAGAACATTGTGCTATTTTATTATATTTTCCTTTTATGCTTATTATATTTTCCTTTTAGTATGCATATTATATTTTCCTTTTAGTTTTAAAAAAATGGTTTTTAAGATCATAGGATAAAAGGAAGTTTTCGTTAAAAATAAGATTACATTTTTGGGGTGAGAAAATCTTCGAGATACTCTTCAGAGTTTTCCAGAATTTTCGATTTCAAATCCGGAGATCTGATTCAGTCTTTGTATGATTTTATCACTTGAAAGTCCTCAAGGTGATGATTTGAAAGCCCTTCATTAAATATAAGTTTACACTGACATACATCTGACCTAATCCTCGAATCTATGTATGACTCGCGGCACACAATTCACCTCGCATTACGCAAAAATCCAGATTTTCGGGAGTTTTCAGTTTCGAACGAAATTGGGAGCGACAGGAATCTCTATATCATCGAATCGTTCGAAAGCTCTCAAGGTGGCGCTTTGAGTACCCATCGCTAGCTCTTTATTCTCTCAATCTGGCGCAAGCAGTCGGAAATGCGGTGTAGATGCACCTGTTACACGAAGAATGAAGTAGGAAGCTGTCGCGCGAACTTGACTTCGAAACAGTGACGCCTTTGAGTATATATTTAACGCGTTTGCGCGGAGCGGTGCCGAGTCGAATCGCGCAAGGTCGTTATGTAACGCGTCAGCGCGCGCGCGCGATTGAACGATGACACTGGTAATTATTTCATTACCACCCGGCGACACTCCAGTCGGTTAGTTGATTGCGATTAAAATTCCAGTTCGATATGACGCCACTCTGTCAGCATTCTCGCTCGCAGGCGATCACATCACGATATTGTATAGTGTAAGGCGCATTGCCGCGGCGTCTCAGACCAATTCCGAGTAACGAAATCGCACGTTCGATCGAAATATTACATCAAAGATCTTCTAAATTTAGCGACCAACAAACTTCAGAGCGACTTGCCCCGACTTCGTCGGCAATATACTCGCGGCACCGGCTTATAACTAACGAGTATGCGTAGATATTAATCAATCCTTCAATAAAATTAGAATGCGCACATTTCTCCTCTTGCGCGAGACTTGCGGTGAAATTAGAAAATTTCTCCTCAAACATTTGGACAGAAGCCAAACGAAATTTAAACAAGATCTAAGCAAACCTAGACAAAGTTGCTTGGATCGTTTACTTGGTCCAAGTTGGAAATGTTAAAGTTAGTTTCAAGGCGCAACTTCATGTTGAAATGACGCATAGTTAAATGCATTTTGTTGCGCAACTTGTTGCCATCATGTTCCGCATCATTTGATGATTCTACTACTTCAAAAAATTCCTCAACATTACAACACAACAAAACAATTCTGAACGAACTTTTTGTAATCCAATACTGATAAATAGTAATGAGATACCGATTAGAATGTCTGCTCAAATGATCGAAGCAACTTTCATACGATTTCAACTTAAAAAATAAAGGCAAGAAGATGTTTAAAGAGAAAATTTCAGAAAAATTCTTCGGATTCTGATAAAATTTTAAATAATCTCCCCGTCTTTCTGTACAAACAAATTTCTTTTTTATACGCTTTTACATTCAAAAAAGTGTTTCGCTGGTCCAAATAGAATTTTAAATGTCACAGTTAAAATCTATCGTTGTTTTTATATCTATGCTAGAAAGTTATGGCACATACAATTCGATATTATAGTCTTAACATTTCATAACTATAGTTCCAAGCGTATTTTTCGATTGCGCGTGATATGTCTACATACATTTGTACATCGTAACTGTTGATTATTTCATAAATAATCAGAAGTCATGATGTACAAATATGTACATTCACATTGCGCATAATCAAGAAATTCGTTTTGTAAAATGTTAAGACTATTATCCTGGATTGTGTATACATGAAATTAGCAGCAGCAGCATTCTAGCAATGTCTGCAAGCAATTCAGGTGGTTGTGAGGATCAAACATTCATTGTTTCTCGTCGCTAATCCTTTCTGACATTTTTGTAAAAAGCGTGACTAACTTCTTAATCTGGATGAGCGACACACAGAAAGACATTTTTTGCAAAATTTCACGAACAGTTCAGATAGAAATTCTGCCTCTGTTATCTGTATTGATTAAATAAGCAAAACATACGCGATATCGCGGTGTTTGCTGTTCATGCATCTGTCTTAGCTAATTTCTCATATCTAGAAAACTTTCCCTGTGATTGCAAGATCGTTTATTTTTTTTTTAGTGTAAAGCGCGATACCTACGCGTTAGACTCGGCTGGCCTCGCCGTTCCCAAGTAGAAGAAGCGCCACTCCGCATCGAGCGTTGTCGTTTAATAGTTGCATGTGATTAATCGTAATAATCCTACGAAGCGTCGTTAAGAAGGTATCTGGAGGTTGCTACGGGAGGGAGAATCATGACGTTAAATATTAAATGCGCGCTCAGGTCCAAGGATGCACAGCACGACGCGATACGGCACAAAACGTGTCGTCGTCGTTGTTGTGGTCGAATCGGTGAAACGAACTCGATCCTTCCTTCCTCTCTCGCGCGGTCTACTAATTGTTACAATTACACTCAGCGCACTGGTCCCCGCGCAACACATAGATCGCCGACCCGGACGTGCGAACGAGGGAACCACGACCTGAGACCGGGACTAGATGCCCGCGACGATGACGTGTCCGAAGATGACGACGACGATGGACATCACCAGTACAGAGGCCGGTCGGACCCGTGGCGCCGAACTCTTCTTCGGGCAATCCGGTAGCGGCTTGTCTGTGCTCATCTCCTCGTCACTCGGCTCCTCGTCGTCGTCGTCGTCTTCGTGTTCCCATATCGCCGGATGCAGGGTGACCGGCGAATCGTAGTACGGTCCCTGGTAGTGCTCGTCTGCCGAAATCGGATGCATTATCTCCGGATGCGAGGCCGGCAACGGTCTGACGTAATGCACACCCTCTTCGTTGGTGTCTTCAAAGTCGTGTAACGTCGTCATGGCCGTCCTCGAGCGTTCTGCCTCGCCGCGCTTGACCGACAGATCCGTGGCGATGAAGTCGTCGGTGCGCGATAACCCCCGATCACCAACGATTACTTTGTTATCAGGCGTATAATCGCGTCCGGTCGGCTCGCGCGGCACATGATACGGCGTTTCTTGGCGACCCATCGTCGACGGGTCCGTCGTCGGCCACGACGACGGCCACTTCTGATGACGTTCCGCGTTCTGCGCCGAGTCGTCCGGATGATACTCCATGGAGTTGTCGGTCGACCAAGTCCGGGAAGTGATGGATGCACCGTTATCGCTGCTCGCGACCGGAATCCTCAGTCGCGTCATCTCCATGGAGCCATTAAGCGTTCCCTCTCGGCCGTCGGGTATCGCGGTATATAGCGGAAACATCACAGTATCTTCCACGGTACTCTCTTCAACGTCCTCAGACCACGTCATTTCTGAGGATGTTTCTGGTTCCAGGGCTGGTACCCGCGATCTCTCCGACGTCACATACGGATAAGGATAGGATATGGTTTCTCGAGTCGACTCGTACGGAGGGCTCGTCAAGGTGTGTCCCGTCAGCATCGGTTTGTCGAGTCTCGCTGTTGACTCGGTAGTATCCTCCGAAGGATGCCTGGACCCCATCCACGGTATTCGCGAATCCTCCGGTGTCGCGTGCGACGGGTAAGTAGATGTGGTTTCATGCGTCGGGATACGTCCCGGGTACGTCAAGGTATGCTCTGCCAACGTTGTTCTATCAGTGCCTGTCATGAGTCTGATGTCCTCTGGAGATGGTCTTGACTCTATTGACGATGCCCGCGACTTCTCTGACGTTATGTCCGACGGATAAGACAACGTCATCTGGTGCGTTGGATATTTCATTGGGTGCGAGTACATCGAGGCGTCTTCCGTTTGCGGCGATCTGTCAGCCCCCGCCGTCATCCTGGCGTCCTCCAGAGGCGGCCTCAACTCCGGCGATGGCTGGTAGGAAGTCCTCGCACCTCCGGACGAAGGTATCTGCTCCACTCGCGGTACGTGTGACTGCACCACCATCGGCCGCATAGTGGTGGTAGTAGTCGTCGGTCTCCTACGGCGTCCATAATGTTCGGCAGGATAGAACGGCCTGTCTCCCGTTTGCGGAGGCACGGCCGGCACTTCCGGTTGATGCGGAGGTCGCCTGTCCGGATACATTCTCTCGCGATGTGCGAACACGCTGATTTTGTCCCTAGCCTCCTTCTCCATTACCTCTTCCTCCTCCTCCTCCTCCTCTTCTTCCTCTTCCTCTTCCTCTTCCTCTTCTTCCACGCGGCTAGGTGGCACGTGAACCTTGATCGCATCGTGAGCGAGCCTCCTCCATTCGGGATCCTGCTCGAAAGTGATGTGTTGGTTCTCCAAGAACTCGCTGACGGCGTGCGGACAGGCGAATTCGGGGTTCTCGCTGAGGAACATGCGCTTCAACTGTCGCAGATGCGACATCCCGTCGAGATTCAGACACCGCAGCCGGTTCCCGGAGATCCTGAAGTCCACGAGGGCGGGTAGATTCTGGTAGACGCCGTCCTCGATCTCGCGTATGTCGTTATAGTTAACATCTAGATATGTCAAAAAATCCAGACCTTCGAACCAGGAGGCCTTCACAGCGGTCAGATAATTGTTGTCCAGACTCAGCTGCTGAAGATTGACCAGCCGGCGAAACGCGTCCGTCTCGACCTCGCTGATCTCGCAGTGCGAGCAACTCAGCACCCAGAGGTTGCTGCCGAACTTGGCGAACGTGTCGGCGGTTATTCTGCGCAACGGCATCCTGCTGATCCGCAGCTTTTCCGCGTTCTCGGGCACGGTGGCGAGGTCGCCGGGGTGGCCACCCTCGCAGAGATACTCTACCATGTCGTCGTTTTGTACTTCTCGACAAGATGCCGCAACGTCGCCGACGTGGGCGGCCAATAGGGCGATCAACGCCAAAACAATCGCGCTATCCATCTCACACGGATCGACGAATACTAAGGGAAGGGGGAGGGATCGCGGAAACAGTGAGACGCTTTCAATAAATCGTGACGACTATTGCAGCAAGGAGGAGACCACCTCCCGTCTCACTGTTCATTTCGATTTCGCCCGGACGGAACGAAATGCGACGGCGGTCATCGTGAGTGGACACCTCTCTCGTTCGAATGTATTACGATTAACGACAAACGACTCGGACTAAATGTAACACGAACTGAGGCGGCTCTTGCAATCGCAGGTTACTTATTTACCAGACCTTCCCCTCCTAACGGTGCCTCTGCTTCTCCTACTACCTTTCGTTCTACCCACCCATTCGTTCGTCTGTCCGGTTGTCCGTCAAGCTGTATAGTCTATTGATAAAAATAGAAAAGCTTGGAAATAGCGCGGCGGGGCGTTAAAAGATCGACCGTTTAACATATGGGAGAGGGGGGGGGGGGGTTG